GAGGTGGAGCCTCGGACGGAAGCGCAGAGCCGACGGGAGGCGCAGGAAGCCCGAGGACGCCGAGGGCCCCGCGAAGCCGCCGGGAGACTGCAGACCCGACAGGTGGGCCCGGGCCCCAGCGGGCTGCTTGAGGCTCCTGGGGTCCCCGTCCTGATTGGTTAAGGCGCCTGGGGGGACTCTGTCCTGACTGCCTAAGGTACCTGGGGTCCCCCCGTCCCGACTGGTTAAGGCTCCCGGGTTCCCCGTCCTGGCTGCCTATGGCACCTCGGGGTTACCGCCCTGATCCGCTCGTGGTGTCTGTGCCTCGCATTAGTTGGTTATTTAAGGGGCTTGTGGTTTTGGACTCTGATTAATTAGGGTGCTGGGGGGGGGGGGTCACAACTCTTTGAGTGGTCGCGCTGCCGAGTCCTACGACACTTGGGTAGTCACGGCGAGTGAGGGTCGCTGCACCTGGCTAGTCATGTCACCTCTGGCGTAGCGCCTGACTAGTTCTAGTGAAGGCAGCTGTCGCCCCAAACGTTTGGTTAAGGTGCCCGCATTTTCATGATCTGTGTGAAGCACCCTGCGTCACGTGACGGGGGTAGGTGCCGTTCCCGCAGGACCTCCGGTGATAAGTGTCAACAAACAAACAAACAAAGGTCTCAGCCTCAGCCAGCGAGCCTTCCTGTGTTTCAGGGACACTGGGAAGCTTTTAGCACGTTTCAGTGCAGCTGGTTCGGTCGGGTCTCAGAAGACTCCGCTTAGAGAAGTTGGGCGGCGCACCGCGGCGAAGACGGCGTAGGTGCCAGGCCGCAGACCGAGATTTGAGTTCCAGATCCTTGTTGCTTTGCAAGTTGTATTTATTTAGAAAGTTTTTTTTTCTTTTAGTGTTTATTTGTTTTTGAGACAGAGAGAGACAGAGCACGAACGGGGGAGGGGCAGAGAGAGAGAGGGAGACACAGAATCCGAAGCAGGCTCCAGGCTCTGAGCTGTCAGCACAGAACCCGAGGCGGGGCTACCTGAGCTGAAGTCGGCCGCTCAACCGACTGAGCCACCCAGGCGCCCCAAGTTTTATTTATTTTTGAGAGAGAGAGAGTGCGTGCATGTGAGTGCAAGTGGGGGAGGGGCAGAGACGGGAGGGGGACAGGATCTCTGCACTGACAGCAGAGAGCTCAACTCGGGGCTTGAACTCAAGACCTGTGAGATCATGACCTGAAGCAGGGTCTGCACCTCTAGATTCCTCCTCCTCTTCTTCCTCCTCCTCCTCTTTTCTTCGGGCGCGTTTTTTATTCTCTGGAACATCAAATTCCTCCCTTCCTCCCTAGACCCTTCTTTTCATTCTGATGACTCCAGGTATTTTCTCTCTGAATGAGCCTTTGCTGCAGCATTCACGTGAGTTGTTTCTAGAGCGCGTTGTGTGCTGGGGAGGTTAGGACACCTCGGAAGCCACGCTTTCATTTTCCTTGTGCTTGTGCTCTGATGCGGGTGGCTCAGCTGGTCAGGGTATTTCAGAGGGACAGGGTGTGGGTGGAGACAGGGCAGGGACGAGGGCTAGGGTGCTCTTGAGAGGCCACAGGGAAGGAAGGCCTTTGTTGGGTTACCTCTGTGTGGTGACGGGACAAACCGGCCCACAAGCATCCGTGTGCCAAGGCCCCCCCACCGCGGGTGGGGATGCGTCTGGCCTGTTTGAAGCCTGAATGGAGGGGGACAAGGTGGGTGGGCTGTTAGGTTGAGGTGGAAGGGGATGGTGAAAAATAAAGATGGGGAGAAATATGTGGTTGACATTCTACTTTTTAAAATCTAATTTTATTAAAAAAAATCTTTTTTGATGTTTGTTTTTGAGAGAGAGAGAGACCACGTAAGCAGGGGAGGAGCAGAGAGAGAGGGAGGGAGACATGGAATCCAAAGCAGGCTCCAGGCTCGGAGCTGTCAGCACAGAGCCCGACGTGGGGCTCGAACTCACGGACTGCGAGATCATGACCTGAGCTGATGTTGGACGCTTAACCGACTGAGCCACCCAGGCGCCCCTCACGTTTGACTTCTTAAAGCAGGATTCCCGATGTTTGCTGATGGGTTGGGTGCAGAGAGGGGTCTAGGATGACTCCAGTGTTAGCTGTGAACACCTTTGTTTCTTGTGGAACCATGTGCTGAGGTGAGGAGGTTGTGGGTAGAGCAGAGCTGGCATGGGGGGGAGTCCATAGTCAGGCCGAAGCTTCTCCCGTGAGCAAGAGAAGGTGTCAGGATGGTATTGAGACCTGAGGGTGTGGATGGGGAGGCCACGCACGTTTTGCACAAGTGTGAGTTCTATGCCTTTTAGAGACTTAGGACTAGAAGAGATATTTGGGAAGTGGTCTTGAGTGCGGGAGAGGCCCTGGACAGGGCTGGAGTGGATGTGAACAGAAGCTGTCAGACATCGTTGAGGTCAGGGTCTGAGTCCTCCAGTGGTCTCCCATTTAGCTGAGGACGAAATGTTAAATCCTTACGTTGCCTTAAAAGTCTTTGGTGTCCCTGCGGGTTCCCCTGTAGCTCATTAGCCACGTGGGCCTCCTTATTCATCTAACGTGGCAGAAATGCCCTTGTGTCTGCCGTTGGCAGTGCTTTTCTCCCCAGTCCGCCATGGTGAGGAGTGGGGAGTGCATACAGGTGCCTGCAGTAGATCTGTCGCGGGATGTGAGAAGTTCCTGTGGAGGGAGGTTAGCTTATTGTGTAAAATAGGCTTCGTTTTCTGTTCCAGCACCTTCCCAAAAAACGTGTTTGTTCTGAGATAGGATAGGTTGGTGACTATGATGTACTTAATCTGAAAAATAGGCTTGGGGTGCCCGGGTGGCTGAGTCGGTTAAGCATCCGACTTCGGCTCAGGTCATGATCTTGCCATTCGTGGGTTCGAGCCCCGCGTCGGGCTCTATGCTGACAGCTGGGAGCCTGGAGCCTGCTTTGGAGTCTATGTCTCCTTCTCTCTCTGCCCCTCCCCCACTTGTGTTCTGTCTCTCGATCTCAAAAATAAATAAACGTCAAAAAAAAAAAATAAAAAGAGGCTTCAGTTCTGCAAGAGGCATTTTCTTTTCTACAAAAATATGTGATGTAGCAAAAGGTCATTTGTAAGCACCCTTTAAAAGTTCAGGAAACTGCCATGGTGGAGACCTGAACCCCTTGATAGACTAGTGAGAAGTCCATGTCCAGCTCTGGACAATCTCCCCATTTGATTCTTCTCTGTGTCTGGGGTACGGTTACTGAGTCACATTAACTTTTGGTTCATTAATTTGACTTCAGACACTGCCACGCATTTTTAGATTCTGGAAATTTTCTTTCAGAAATCTAATTTTAGTTTTTCTAGGTGAGGAAACCGTAAGAGAATAAACGATAATTGTGCAAAGAGATTATTCATTTGTTACCACAGTTGTGCTTCCAAAGCACGCCGTTTGTTTTGCAGCTCAGGTACTGAAGGCTGCTTAGAGCTGCAGCTGAAGTTTGTGTCCAGCTTGGCTTCGCCCGTGGTGGCCAGTAGAAAAAAATCAGTTTATGTCTAATCTACAGATAATGGACATACCAGCAATTCTGACTGCCAGATTTCAAATTCCCTAATTTGACCAAAGATTTAACTTGGCCGAAGGTTTCCTTGATCTCTAGATAGAACTGAACCCCTAGTTTACGCTTAACCCAACTCTGGGGGGGGGGGGGCACTGTTATCCGTGCGCTAAGTTCTTGTAGCGGGGACTCAGTTGTAAATTCTTACCCTCTTGTTTTAATTATGTGGTATATTCTGAATCATTACACGCATCTGAAACTAACTAGTATGCATTGTTTATTAAGTACCTTTCACGTGCTGGGCACTTTGCTTAGTATGAAGTATTACCTAACGGTTTTTTAAAATGCTGAAAAGTAGCTTCTCATTTTACAAATAAAGGAAATTGTATTAGGTGCCGTTCTCAGGGCTGAAGATGCCTTGTTGACTTTGCCTTCCCCCCAGTAGACTTTTTCCTCCTGATTTAGCCAACACTGGCACATGGTAGGTGCCCAGAAGTTCGATAAATGAAGCCCAGACAGGCTTTCAGTAAATTGCCTAAACTCGGTGATCTAGTAAGTTATGGAGCAGAGATTGGCCCAGAGCCCTTTCCCTTGGCACCCTGCAAACAGCATGTGGACATTCCCTGACGCACTGTTTGAAAGGAGACGGAAAGTGTGTGCCGTGGTTCACATGTATGTACATTTTTATCTTATTGCAGTTTTACCACTCCCGAGGGCCCCAAACCCCGTTCTAGATGTTCAGACTGGGCAAGTGCAGTCGAAGAGGATGAGATGAGAACCCGAGTTAACAAGGAAATTGCAAGGTATACGTTGCAGACCGTTTTGGAATGTTGTTTATTGTGCTTTCAATTACGTGTTAAATCTGAGATGTGTCTTCG